GGGGTCCGGGGCTGGGCTCCCCAGTCCAAGAGAGACATGGCACTCCTGGAGAGAGTCCAGCGGAGGGCTACCAAGATGATCAGAGGACTGGAGCATCTCTCCTCTGAAGAAAGACTGCGAGAGCTGGGCCTGTTGAGCCTGGAGAAGAGAAGATTGAGAGGTGATCTCAGCAATGTGTATAAGTATCTGAAGGGGGAGTGTCAAGAGGATGAGGCCAGCCTCTTCTCCGTGGTGCCCAGCAACAGGACAAGAGGCAATGGGCAGAAACTGAACCACAGGCAGTTCCACCTGAAGCTGAGGAAAAACTTCTTCACTGTGAGGGTGACGGAGCATTGGAACAGGTTGCCCAGAGAGGTAGTGGAGTCTGCTTCCCTGGAGATATTCAAAAACCATCTGAACACAATCCTGTGCAAAGTGCTGTAGGTGACCCTGCTTGAGCAGGGTGGTTGGACTAGATGATCTCCAGAGGTCCCTTCAAACCTCAACCATTCCTTGATTCTTTACTTTAGAGAAATATCAATACTCAAATTTGTGTTATCTGTAAATTTTATTTGTAACTCTGACACTTTGTACCCATCACTAGAATTTCAAAAACTACCTTGAAGAGCTTCTCTGACAATTTCCTTTTACCAGGGTTCCCATTTCAGCACCACTTGTTCTATTTTTTTTTTTGCAGTCAGCTGCTTGTCCTGCCTAAATGTTCCATGTTGTCCTGTTTTAATAAAAGGATTTCAGATTTCTATTTTAAGTGCTTTCAAAGTGTTTAGATTACTGCATTTCCTTTGCCAAAATATTATACAAAATATATTAAAAAATCAGACATTTAAGCACGATATTGATTCAGTTTGTAGGATCTTTTTTTTGGCAAGTCTATTTCTCAGTCATTACCTTGTCTGTAATTATTATTTCTTCAATAAGTATTCTGACATCCTGCATGCTATTGAGGTCAAATTCATAAGTTTGCTGCAGTTGAGATCATTGTCTTTCTTTGTTTAAGGTAAAAAAAAAATAAAATAACTATCCACCCTATTGTTATGCAGCTGTCTAATTAAAAAAAAATAATTATGACATGGGAATCAGTACAGATTACAGTAAAAGAGAGATTAAAGTACAAGAGAGAAACTGCTCTGGAAAGATTTCCTAAGTGGCTTTTTTACTCCAGAATAGAAGTTCATTTTCTTGACTGAGCTTAATCCACTTCACTGCTCTTTATTCTTCCTCCCTTCAGTCCTCTTTTCAGATGATATTTGTACCAATTTGACCATGAACTCTAGAAACACTTGCAAACTGTGATGAGCCTGGTGCAGCTGGTTCAAGTTCAGGTTCTTTTCCTTGACTTAGTAGAACTGCTGCCCAGGAAGAGCCAGCTTCTGTGTTACACCGTGCAGAAGGTATATCAGAAAGCGTAACTAGATGCGGGTAAGAAAGATGACCTCACCCACTTTTGCACCCTCCGAATTCTGGCCTGTTCAATGACAGCTTCATGCTAGTCCTAACTGACCACCAGTAGGCCACTCTGGTCAGGCCACAAGGACCCCCATGCTCAGGACACATATAGACAGAGCAGGATAGAGCTTCTCTCCTGCACTAACAACCCCAGGATCTATGTTACTCAAGGGATTTACCCTGTGCTTCAGATCTAGCACCTTTTGTCTCTTCCTTCACTATCAATTTTTATACTTAGAAATTTTATTATGGACAAAAGGGAATATACCATATACATGTGGACCCATGAATTCATTGTTAGTCTAATTTTACAGCCTAATCAAAGTACAATAAAGAGTTCCTGTTACTCAGTTACAATAATATTACCATTCATAGATCAAAATAGCACAAAAAAGCCAAAATAATAGTACTACGATAGTTAAACAGGAAAAACTTCCTAGTACCCACTTCTTTTCTCTGGTGTTATGCTTACCCTTCCAGTGTCCTTCTGTGTCCTAAGGCTGATGGAGCCAGTCTTCCTCAAGCAGAGAGGTGTGTCAGTGTCCCAAGTTCTTCACTAGGAGTATTTTCATGTTATCTCGATTAGCTATCCCTCCATCCTCCACATTGGGGTCCACCTGAGTTTATTTTTATGCATTTTCCTTACACAGGCTGTATATGCGAGCTTTCTCTTTTTTCGATCTCAGCTATTCAGTTTTCTCTTCTCTTTGCTGTATCTAAAGAGGTTAAAAAGATTGTGCTCCTGTAGTGACCGCTGACTGATCATTGTGACTTGTGTTCACAGATCAGGATCTCTGGTACAGTCCTGTGTCTACACTCTTGCAAATCACATTTTATTCTAGGATTATAGATAACTCAGCTTACACAAAATAACTACTTATCACTATAAACTACAGCTAACTTAAATCAAGCCTGACAACTAGGCAATTGCTATCACTACTGAAACAACTTAAAACCAGTCAAGGGCAAGACAAGCCCAAACAAGTCCTGAGAACATGCACTATCAGGTCATTATAAAGCATGTAGCCTTTTACTAGCAATTATAAATAATCTTATTTACCAGTCTACTTGGAGGGCCACCAGAGCAGCCCAAAACTGCAGAGCAGTGTGATAGGAGGATAATACAGGCAGCTATATCTCTTTTTTTCAGCCTCAGAGCCATGACTATCAATTTATGCTGTTATCAAACATCATGTTGAAAAACACCATGAGTGCCAAGGAGCAGCAGGTTGTGTAATTATGAGGGAATGAACCAAGACCAAATTCGCTACAGAGTAAGTCCAGATCTGAGGTGAAGAAAGGTCATCCGTGAAAGGAGAGGGTGGATGCCTCTCCAGAGGGTGCTACTCCAGGGTGGGCTCAACTCTATTGCCCGTGATGCATTATATGCTTATTATTAATAATTTGCAGTTGAAGTTTCTCCAAAGAGTGTGGCATGACTTTAGCACATAAAGGTTAATTTTTCAAAGCAGCTTGTAGTTTTGTAGGAAGGCCCGTCATGATTCTTTAAATCCTAACATTTGCATGATGTGTCAAAAAATTAATTTACAAACATGGAAACTGTTCAAGCTGCTAGAGTACACATTAATCTTTTTTCTCTGAGCTAGTATATTTCTCAGGTGGATCATAAAATAGAAAACCCTTGGAACGACTTTTTTTATTTTTTAAGTTTATTGGAAAACTAGAGTAATGGTAGGATAATAAAAAACATGTGAATAAGAAATATGAACACGAACTGCTACTTCTTTGATAAACTTTAGATATATGGAAATTGCGGGCAATAGAAATCTCTCAGTCCTCATTCTGCCCTACCTTACTTTCCAGGTTTCCAAAGGAGATAGGCATGCGCTTGCTTAATTGTATTCTGTAATGTAGCCTTGCTGGATATGATACATGCTGTATGGTATCAGAGCGAAAAGAAGCTAATGATCCAGCTGCAGACACGACCATCTCCCCACTTCCCTGGCAAAAGTAAAAGTTAAAAAATTGAAATCTGTGATGCCTCAACATTTCAATTCAAGGCTCAGTTCAGGTCACAACATTTTTGCCGCTTTAATAACCCAAGTCTATTAAATCAAGGGAAAAAAAAAAAAAACAACCACTGAGACTGGCAAGGGCAGGTTCCAATCACAAAGATTCCTAAGTGCAAGAAAATGTTCATTTCATATTTTGATTCTAACCCTGTCAGCCCAATCAAACAGTTATTAGCTCAGAGATTTGATACTAGACCAATGACGACGTGCAATGAAGCAAATGAACCAAAAAAGTAAGATACCACTATAAATCATATTGCTATCAAAGCTTTATATTGGTTGAAGAGAATTAAGGTTTTATTAATTCAGAGGCTTTACCAAACAGTATCAGTTCTCTGTGCATCAACACTTTGACCGACCACCTGCTCTTTCCCATGAGAAGTGCTGAGTGCGGTAGATCAGCTGCAGAAGATGAAAACTGCTGTCAGAAAGCTGCCATTTCTTTGTGCACTGGTCTACATCTTCTTTACATGTTTTTCTACAGAAAAACAATGTCCTGTCAGAAAGACAGACTATCATTTGGGCCCAGGCCAACAGAATTAAGCAGAAACGTGCTCAGCAGCTCCACAGATGAATACTTTTACTATTGACGTGTGCTGATGTTGCTGAAAGCAGAACCTGATTCAGGTTTTGCAAGAGAAGATAGTGGAAAGCGTGCAAAGAATGATTTCCAGATGAGAAATGTATGTATAGTACAGTCCTTACTGAGCTGGGCCAGCTCCTACTTCAAGGTTTTGACGGACTGCGCACTACCTGTTTGGTGGTTTGAACTTCCTGGAGCATCTTATCTTGTGACTCTCAGTTGGAAGGGAAGAGAAAGGTTAAAACAGAGGAGCTTTAGAAAGCTGCAACTTTCAAGAAGGGCTGAGCTAGCTTTTGCTGAAATAAAAGGGCTTTTCATAGGGCTTAGGATAGGCAAGTAAGCTAGCAGTCTTTTTTTACAACAAAAGTAAATGTGTTTAACCTCTTGGAAGAGATCAAAACCGCAGCTGTGGGGAAAACAGATTGTTAAGACTTTTATAGGACGGACTGCTCTGCGCGCTTGGAAGATCGGGTGTTGCAGGCAAAATTGCTCAGCTCCTCTGATTTAAATCAAATCACGATCAGAGTGGTTTAGTGATACATTAGCAACACATAAATAACTGGCAATCAGTGAACTGTACATTCACAATCAATATCAGCAATACAACAGAAAAATACCAGATGTTTACCAAAAGCTAACAAATGCTTACAAATTTTAACATATCTTTTCTAAAAAAGTTCTAATACTCCCCCACACACCCATACCCACACACAGCCACGGATTTAAGTGTCCTCCCATCCCAGGACATGTAGGTTACAGGTACGTCACCCTCTTCCCGGAGCATGGGTTGTCCTACTCTTGGCGTCATGGTTGCTGCAGCTTTCTGTGTACCCGTGCTGCTCCTGCAATCTGCTAACCTACCTGTCGAGGAGAAAGCACGTCACAAGTTGACATCTGCACACCCTAAATGTAGGTCTCTACTTGCTGCCCCCTCACTTTCAGCCCACTAGCAGGCTCCTCGCAGTGTCCAACAGCCTTAGGCAGAGGCTGAGATGCTGCCAGGGTGACTTCTGGCAGCATGGAAGCTGATTGACAGCTGCTCTGTTCACACTCCAGCGTCTCTCCTCGCAGTCACAAATTCTCATGCTTCTTTTACACGTCTTTCCAAGCTGACTCCTTTGTTTGAAAAGCCTGTCAATAATTTCATAGTTTAATCTGGCTAATGGATGATTTATGCAAACTTTGCACAGTTAATTTCTTCACAGTGTTATTAGTTTTGGGGCAAACATCTCTGAGGGTTTCAGATAGTCTATTCACACACACTGTTTACACTCAAAGTCTTACTACACCTGTTGGAATCCAGGTCATTTTGCCAAGAGGGGGCTGCACAGACTCCCATAGATAAATAGAAAAATATTTTTACTGGATCAGGATCTTTTCCCGTATACATTTGTTTGGATAACTTCTACCATTTGGAAGGGTGGCATATCTGCCCGGTGGAGGGAGAGGAAGAGAGACGTAGACAGATCTCCCACCAAAGTAAACTCCAAGTTGCATCATTCATCTGGGATTCTGCATGCTTCCAGGGCCACCTTTAACCAAACGGCCACCTTTTTCCTGTGTGACCTGTTTTCAGTCGGTAAATCAGCATTTCTGAGCTTGATGCTTAGCTGCCAATCCAATTCTGAAGACATTTGGATTTTTCCGCCTTATTTGACAATCAGGAATGAACCATATTCTTCACAGATACATCATTCCTACATCAAAGCCTTTCAAATTCATTATGATGATAATGCTGCATCTCTTCAATAGCAAATTTCTCCAGTTTTTTTTTAAGACTCATGTCTCTGTGTGTCAGTTTCTTCTTATATAATATACACTCTTAAAGATGAAATGCTGTCTCTTTTTTCCCCTCTAAATTTTCCGGAAAGCATGACACCATATAACTTTGAAAGGAAAATATAGCTGTTTGCTGTCCCCTTTGCACACCACTTTGAGCTTTACACTTAGAGGCTAAACCCTCTTTCACATTACCTGCCTTAAACATAAACATTTCTTTAGTTTTCAACCTGGTCATCACCTCAGTTAAAATCCATTCATCTTTCATTTCTCTTATGAAAAGTTCTGCTCCAAAGTCTCTGAGCTAATAGAAGAACTTCTGTATTTTATCAGGCAATGTGAGCTAAAACATTTTTGTTCTCATACAGCAGATTTATGGACTATAAAAGCCAGAAGTACCCATTAAAGTGATCTAGTTTTGAGTTCCTCAGTAAAAAAGACTGTAGTACTTCATCCAGTACTTATTGCATTAAACTTAACAACTTGACCAGACCAAAGTTCCAGAAAAAATAAGATTGAGGATTTGTTCACGTTCTTCAACTTTTCTCTATTGCATAGCTATGGATTTTAGACAGTCCCTGAGTAAGCTGATGCTTTGTCTACCTCGAATGCACTGGTGTCCATGATTTCTTTTTATGGGGAATTTAGTATCCCTAATGCATTGTACAGGCTAGGTGACTGATGCTCCAGAGATTCTGCTCCAAGAGCTAAGGTACTTGAAAAGAAATTTTGCCTCTATTAACTGCTTTACTAGATCTAACCTTTTTTCCTTTTGAAACTTCAAACCTCTACCTGAAAAACAAAAATAATAGGTTTTCTCTATCTTATTTGTGGGTTTTGATGTAAACCCGTTAGAAGTTGCATGGCAGAGCAATAGATGCCTTAATGATACCTGAAATCAAGGACATGTATCTAACCAAATTAGACTTGAACCTGATATTTCAATCTGACCCTGTGTTCAGAAAAACTATCTTCCGTTCAAAGAAATATTGAGGAAATGTGTAAATATGACAGTGGTGATTTGCATATCAGTCATTTCAAAATCCATTTGTTGTTTCAAAATCAATTTGTTGAAAAAAGGAGCCCTATCTCTTTCCAAGATATGGGATCTGTTTTGAAACTTAAAATCCATCCTGGTCCATATAAAACATTCCCACAAAATTCAATGTGGTATTACTTTTCCAATTTTTCTTGGGATTCAGCACAGCTGTGTGAGTCGTGATGGTCCTTACACTAAGTAATGTCTCCTGGCTAGTGCATTGAGATTTTCTCTACTGCATTTGCTGGTGGTAGCATAGAGCTCTGGGTTGATTAACAGAATTTGCGAGAGTGATGTGACCATAAGTTACCTTTCAACATTTTTTGTTCTGTTGCAAATGTGATCAACATATCTACTGTATTTTGAACAAAATGACAGTCTGCACCTTTCCTGTTTTTTGATTGATTGATGAAATTTTCTCCTTAGTGTGTCAATCAAGAGATTGAATGGGGATAGAAATAATGTTTTTGTTACTCCATTTGCTAGGATATTCATTTTTGGTTTCACAATAAAAATGGCAAAAATATATTTATATTAGAATAAAGAATAGTGTTTCTTAGGGCATTCTGAGATTAGCTAATGTAAGATCCTGTTATGTAGTGGTCTCTCCCTTTTGCCAAACAGAACTGCAGAACTGCTAAATAAACACAGGATTTATCCCTCTTTTATGAAGGTCAAAGTAAAAAAGATAAATAATAGAAGATGTTGTTTTTCCAGAGTTATGGGTAGAATTAGGACTGCATTCCAGATCTTATTCATAAACAAGTTAGCTGTTTTATATATATAGTCTGATACATTTCCCTTAGGACATAAAGCTAGGAAGGCAGTTGGAGCTTGTTAATGAATTTATATGAATTTATATAGCTTGGCCAAAGTCATTAATGGGGCTTTTCCTTGGCTACATTTTCTCTGGCTTTTCCTGCTTTTTCCCATTTCTGAAGCTAAGGATCATGCTTACCCTTTTCTTACACCACCCTTCCAAAATCCTCAAAAGCTCTGAAATTGTATTAGCCAAGATCTTTAAATTTACTAGGAACAACTGTTTTGAAATCATCCAACCTCTTCAGCCACACCCATACCTGATCCTTTCATACGTAAGGTCCTGGCTCTTTATCATTACTACTAACTGTGATAGCCACTGGATTGTAGCTGATGATATATGAAATGTATGCAAATTTGTATACTCTTTGATCATTATATCCATTAGTCTGATAAAAGAGACTACCTCTCCCCAGGAATCTTGACCTGGTCAAAATTTTTAACCTTTTGAGCTGCTTCTTTCAATAGCTTTACCTCTCCTTGAATAGAAGATCCACCCATTTCCTAGCCTTTCTCTTTGTAAAATGCTTGTAAACTGATTTCTTGCTACTCTTGATGCATATAGAAGAAAGATAGATGGAAGAGCCCAAAGTTAGGGCTGGAGGATGAATTTTGTAAAGCCTTTGAGTAAAAGAAAGTGCCTTGTGGGTGGATTATAGAAAGGGAATGGCAGACTGGCCAACTGTTTTCTTATGGGGAGGATATTTGGGGTATGCTGCAGTTGCTCAGGATTACAGACCAGCGGTAACTGCTCATGTTTTGAACAATGTATATGTCACTTCTAAGCAATACATATGGGTTCAATCACTATTCTTACACATATGCTAATGTGCATGCACAGTGGTATTAATCATTTTACAGTGTCTTCTGTGGTGATTTCAGCATAATGTATATCTGATTGATCGTAAAACTCTAATAAATATGCAGTAGAAGCAAAAATTTCACTGACTTTTTCAAGGCATAGAACCAGGAATGTAAACAATTTTTTTTTTTAATATATAATAATAATAAACATATTATTCAAAGTTGTAAGCATTAAACACTTTAATTTGAAAACTTCAAGTGCTGTATACATACAACCGTGTTCATACTTAAAAGCCACAGTGTGTATCCATCAGGGTTCCTGCAGTATTGGTTATCTGTAGAAGAGTTACCTCTTTGCTGTTTGAAAGAGATACAGGCATATCCCCTTATCCACTATTCTCTTTTTTGTTCTGTGATGCAGACGGTGGGATTTTTCTAACAATGTTGATTTATCCATTTGAGCCAGTCACCCTGGGCTCCCTCTATAGCTAATGTACAGAAGGAATGACTTGTAGAGTATGATTCATCTTATCTTGAAGGAAATGTCAAAAATAGACCATATGAATCATGTTCTAAAAGTGCCAATTTGACTCTGTTGACTACAAAGGAGTCCAGGGTGACTATCTCATTGATCAATATTTGCATTGTAGGCATCAAAATTTAAATGAGTTGAATCCCATGCAGAAAGTCTGGAAAAGGAGTTGAACATATTGCTATGAAAGACATAAACCAGAAAGTGAAAGAATACAGAGCTACAGCACGTACACAGACTGGAGCACAGTCCCCCCCAAGAAAGTCACTACTTTGTTGAGGTAATTGACTCCCATGTATTTCCAACGCTTTCAGTTTTCCAGATTTTTTTCCTCTTGCTTTCTTTCCGTGTAGCCGTCCCTTGTATACACTTCAAGGATGGGATAATGAGTTATACATCAAGCCATAGACCATGCTGCTTTTCTTCCTTCAGAGACTGGACGTGCAGACAATATGCAAGCCCTGATGTTCTACCTAAAAACAGTGTGGGTAATTGTGTGTACATTTCTGGGGGCTGTCACAACTTTAAAGAAGTGATACCTTAAGGTTTGTTCTCAAAGACAGAGATGGCTTCTATTTAGAAGTGAAAATCAGAAAAACGTGCCCCAGATGGCCAAAAAAATGTAGGGAGCCACAGGTATTCAGGAACTGATGAAGGAGATTCATTGTCATGCAGACTCTGTGCCGCTTATAGCAAATCTATTTTGTGATTAAGTTCTCTTTTATAAGACCTTAGGAGGAACATCATAATGTGCATGGAAAAATAAATAGAACTTCGTAGTAACTCAAAGAGGGGGTGAATTATTTTAAGTGCCTTAAAATCTTTCTCTTTGGGAGTATGAGTGACTTGGCCGGTGAACCAAGTATCTTGTGCTGACTCAGAGCTAATGGTGTCGTTTCCCTTCAAGCCCACCACTGAACTCAGCCGTCACGCAGGCCTGCCCTGTGAACTGTGGTAAATAAATTGGTGCTAGCCATATGTAGCTGGTACTAGGCTTGCCAATATGGCGCGTTTGAACAGTCTTACATTCAGGTTTTAATGGTATCATG